AGTAGGTATTTTTTTTTTAAAGAAGGCTTCATATTTGGCTTTAATTTGAAAGATAAAGGAATCAATTGTAGATTTTATCCATAATACTTCTTCTTCAAATAGAAGTTTAGAGAAGGTCTGATAGGAGTTGTTGATTGTGTCTGTAATTAAACGCTCTTTGTCATATAAGTTATGATTGTTGGGATTACGATATTTGTATTTTTGGTCTTTATATGAGAAGGTGTGAAAGTTGGTAAATTTAATAGCATGAAATTTTCTGACACGCGTATTAAAGAGCTTGAGAAAGCTGAAGTTTGTAAAAATATAATTAGTTAGATAAGAAATAAATTGTCTGTATATATATGCTTATAAATTTAGAAGAGTTTCTCTTTTATCAGGAGGGCTGCTAAATTGTTTATAGTAAATAGGATATTGTTGGTTAAACCATTTATTTAAGTTCTTACAAGAGTTAAAAAAAGATAGAATATAATATTGTTTAAGGAAAAGTGTCTTAGACAAGTTAAATAATACAGTTGTATTGTATCTAAAATCAAATTTAATAATAAAATAAGGTTCACCTAAATCAACTAATACAACTTCAGTAATAATATGAAACTTTTTGGATATAAAGTTAAAGTTCTCTGCAAGTTTGGTATAATTAATAGCCTATTACTGCTCAAGAAGATATAAATGAAGCTATGCAATATTGAAACAGACTTGAAATCTTTGTTTATATATATATATGAAGAGTAAGTAAGAGATGATTCAAAGATTTTGATATAATTAAGTTTTGTAAATAAAATGCTTTTAAACTTAAGTAACAAGTTTTTAAGTATAGTTTCAAGGTATTTGAAAGAAATAAGTACTTTTGAATTGACATCTAGATTAGCTTTATAGATAATATCTGTAAGGAATTGAGACTTTTTAGCTATCATAACAAATAATATATTAGAAAAAAGCTTTGAGTAGAGGTTTAGTTCTAGTAGCAGATTTAATTTCTTTTCTCAAATAGAAGTTATAGAGATGTTTTTTAATAAAAACAAGAGTTTGTTTAAACAATGAGTTGAGTTTTGTGTGTTTTTTTATTTTTTTATCAATAAGAAATTTAGCAAGTCAATCTAAGCTTTCATTAAGTTTGTTAACTGCCTTTTTTCCTTCTTGTTAATGGAAACTATTAGGTGTTTTTTGTGATTTTGATACTTCTTTTTGTAGTTCTTTGTATTTGTCAGCTGATACATATTGAATACTTGCAAATAGGTCAGGTGTAATATTGTTTTCTGTATTTTTGACTATTTTTTTTTTTTTTTTTTTTTTAACCTCCCTCCACATCTCAAAGGTCCTTAGACACCTTCGGATCTCTCACATCTCTCAAAGGCCAGAGTTTTCGTATCTGCGAAGATCACCAGTATAGCAAATTAGCCACTATATGTCATCATACTGGTGAGATAACTTATGCTCCATTAAGTATGTCATATTATGTCCCAGGTTCTTGGTGCCATAGTGTAGGATCTATGTTCTCTAGATCTGCAGTTCCCTAACTTCACATAACCCACAAGCCGGATCATCCTTTTATATATCCTTAAGC